CCAAGAGGCCCTCAAGAAGCTCCCCAGAAGGCCGAAGAGGTTCCAAGAAGCAATGTTTTCCCATCGGCTTTTGATGGATTTTAAAGTTCCCAGCCTTTTGGCTTCCAGACGCTCCAAGACGGCCCAAGAGGCCCCCAAGACCGCAGAGGCCTCCAAGAGGGCCCCAAGACGGCCCACGGGGGCCCCAAGACGGTGCCCGAGGCGCCCAAGACGGCCCGAGAGGGCCCCAAGAGGGCCCCAAGAGAGCCCCAAGAAGGTGAACGCGAACCCAACAGCAGAGCCTTTCGCCCTAAGAGGCCCACAGGAGGCCCCAAGAGTCCCCAAGTGGTTCGACGAGGCCCACCAAAGCCCCCCACCAGGCCACAAAAGGCTCACAGGAGACGTACATGGGGCCAATCAAAATTGCTTCAAGGAGGCCCTGGGAGGCTTCCGGATTGCCCCAATGTGGCCTCAAGCCGGGCCTCTACGCAGCCAAGACGGCCAATTGTCTGCTTCAGGCTGCAGAACATCACTTTCCGACTGCCTGGAGAACCCTGACGATGCCCCCAAGGGACCCCAAGAAACCCCAAGATGCCCCCCGAGAAGCACCCAAGATGTGCCTGCAACAGCCAGTTGAGGAAGCATGGAGGGCCCCCCAGAAGCCCTTCTGATGCCCCCACGAAGACCCAAGAGGTTTCCAGGAGGCACGACTATGTCACACGCCTGTGCTTGATAGCGCTGTCCAAGATCCTCAAGCGCGCCCCTGGCCTGGGCTAGAACCTGAGCGCGCGCGAAGCGCGCGCGATGGTTCTGGTATATATATATAGAATATGTATAATATATATATATATAATATATATTATATATATTATAATATCTCTCTCTATGCCGAAAATATAGGTTCCCCTGAAAGGAATGGATCGACTTGTGCCTCTTGGGGCCCTTCTGGGGGGCCTCTGGGAGCTTCTTGGGGCGTCTGGGAGGCCTCTTGGGGCGTCTTGGGGGTCAACCTCTGCGTTTCGGAGCGGCCCGCGCCTGAGCTGTGACTTTGAGCGCCTTCTACGCAGAGGCACTCATCGCCGAGCTGTCATACGTCAGGAGGTACGCGAGTTGCGACAACCTCTGCGGCAATACATTGTAATCCAAAGGAGCTGTGTTCGCATCCCTCCTCCATTTCCTTCTCTTCCCGCCTGCGTTCCTTTTCCATTGCTCCCTCAAACCCTCTTCATCCTCCTCCTCCCCCCTCCTCGCCTTGATGGAAAGAAGACAGCGCCATCCCTGTAGCGGCGGAAAGTTGCTCCGGACGCCGACGCGGTTGCCAGGATCACCACGCCGGTGGTGCGAGGGAGGGTGTAAGGGTTCAATCGCAGAAGTGGTAGAACTGCCGGCGGGCCAGCCACCGAGATCACCCTTAGCCCTCCACACAAAGAACCGTTTGGAGATCAGACATGACTCACAAACGGGGGGTGGGATGCATAGCTTAGTACCTATGTGTTCCAAGGATACAGCCACACCCCGAGGGTGGTGGTGGTGGTGGGGTTGGTTGTGTAGTGCTGCCTAGCTGAACGGTGGTGTGATGGTGGATGCTGATGCTGCTGATGATGTTGATAATGATGATGACGATGGCGATGATGATGATGATGATTGATGATGATGCTGATGATGATGATGATGATGATTGATGATGATGAGAGATGATGCTGATGAGGCTGATGATGAGGAAGAGAAGGAAGGAGGCCTGGCATGTTCGAATGCCGATGTTGGTGTTTGGTGCTGCCGCTGATGTGATGATGATGATGATGATGCTGATGATGATGCTGATGCTGATGCTGATGCTGATGCTGATGATGATGATGATGCTGCGGATGCTGATGCTGATGCTGATGCTGATGCTGATGCTGATGCTGATGGTGATGATGCTGCTGCTGCTGCTGCTGGTGCTGCTGGTGATGATGATGATGTTGATGGTGATGATGCTGCTGCTGATGAGGATGACGCTGGTGATGATGACGAACAAGCAAAAAGGAACTACTGCTGAGGCTGATGCTACTGTTGATGATGGTGCTGGTGGCGGTGGTGAGGAGGATGGATTTATATGGGCGGAGGGAGGTAGGGAAGGGACGGAGGGGCAGGTGAAGGATGGGGATGAGGAGAAGGAGGAGGAGGAGGAGGAGGAGGAGGAGGAGGAGGAGGAGGAGGAGGAGGAGGAGGAGGAGTAGGAAGAGGAGGGAGGCAGGGGAGATGATGAGGAGGGAGGGGTTGGAGGCGGAGACGCCGAGATGATTGGTGACGGAACGGTCCGCCGATCGCGACCATCGAACGCCTCAGTCAGCTATGGCCTGTTGGGGTGGTAGTGCCTCTGGCTACCCGGAGCCAGAGAATATGTTCATCCAAGTATCACGCCCCCCCCCCCCCCGTACAGTCTCGCTACTACGGTCCAATAGTTACCCAACTCCGTCAGCCCCGTCAGGTTGCAGGGCGCAGCCAGCGGTGTAAATCCATCCGCACTTCTAGTCGCGCAGCGGGCATGCACGCGGACGGCCATCCGCCGTTGATGCTGGATGGTCGGAGGTCCCTCGGGGGCGCCTCCTGCTGCGCGGCGAGCGAGCTCCCCGTGCTCGCGCCTCCTCCACAGCCGCCACCCTATATTCGCTGCGATCCTCGCGAACACTGCTGGTGGCAGCAGGGTGCGGGGGTGGGAGGGAGAAGAGGATGAGAGGGCTGGGGCGGCTTTTTGAGGGAGGTCAGCAGCAGCAGCACTAGCAGCAGCAGCACTAGCAGCAGCAGCACTAGCAGCCACAGCAGCAGCAGCAGCCACAGCAGCAGCAGCAGCAGCAGCAGCAGCCTCAGATTGCACCACCTTGGCTGCGCCTCAGCTTTGCAGCACGCCGCACAGGAGACCATACACTCAGTCGAAGGCGCGTGGAAGCTGCTGCCACCTACACTGCACCACCTTGGTTGCGCCACCTGCACTGCGCCGCCCACACTGCAGCACATCACTGTGCGGGGCCCACGCTGGCTGACATCTTACTGACGAATGGGGGTGGGTCGCCCGAGGATGTTTTCCAGGGGAAGGGCGCGGGCCCAGGGTTCTCGTTTGGGGGCTGCCCCCTGGAATCGACGGGCGTAGGGCCGGCGGCGTTATTCTGCGAGAAATCTCGAGGTCGCGCAGGCCCGGCGAAATTGAATTTTGAGGATGTCCCCAGCGAAACGCTAGGTTTGCATCATGTGTTGAGGATGGCATGAGCGAAACGTTTGTTATGTGCTATAGATCGTTTCTCTCCTGGGGGCCAGCATTCAGAGGATGTCTCAGGTGGAATATTTGTTTCACGTGCCCAGGTCTTGAGGATGTCTCGAGCTAGACGCTTCGAGTATGTCTCGAGCGAAACGCTTGTGTTGCAGTACTCGAGCGGCCTGGGCGCCCCAGGATGCCCAGGTGGCTCTGGGAGTGCGAACGTGGCGTAATTTACTGAGGAACGTGGCCCTGGGAGTGAGGAGGCAGCGTAGTTCACGAGGGAGCGCAGCCCTGGGAGCGTGGACGCACCAGACTAGTAATTTACAAGAGACCGTGGCCCAGGGAGAGCGGACGCAGCGTAATTTACGAGGGATCGTGGCCCTGGGAGCGCGGACGCACGATAATTTACAAGAGATCGTGGCCCCGGGAGCGCGGACGCAGCGTAATTCACAGAGGAGCGCGACCCTGGGAGCGCGGACGCCAATCGCGGCACGGCACATCGCAGTTCAGCACCGCGCGCGGCGCAGCACAGCCCTCGGCACGGCACGCCACGAGATCGGTGCACTCAGCGCTGCAACTTGGCACGTTCCCTGGCAGCGCGTCGCGTGGCGAGTCCCCCTCGGCACGTCGCGCGGCGCGCCCCCCGCCCGGCGTCCGTGGGCACGCTGCGCAGCGCGGCCGCCCCGTGGCCGCCCGTGGCAGCCCCGCGGCCGCCCCGCGGCCGTCGCGTGGCCGCCCCGCGGCCATCCGAGGTCGGTTGCATCACACTGTGTTGCACCGCGCGGCCTGCCCCGCGGAGGCCAGGGGAACAAGCAAATGACATAAACATAACAACTCGGAGGGCCGCGCGGACTTCTCGGATCCGCGCTGGACCCCCCTGGCGGCGCCTCCGGCGCCGCCCCGCGCTGGACCCCCCTGGCGGCGCCTCCGGCGCCGCCCCTGGCGCGCTCCGCGCGCCAGGGAGGGGGTCCAGCGCCGATCCGAGAAGTCCGCGCGGACCTCCGAGTTGTTATGTTTATGTCATTGCTTGTTCCCCTAGAGACACCTCACAGCACGCACGACACAGACCACGCCTCAAAGGTCCCATGCCGTGCACCTCACGTCCGCAGTGCAGACATCTCGCTGTACGGGGCCCACGCTGGCACACGCACACCTGTCCTGATCTCTCTCTCTCTCGACATATGCCGTATATGTGTATCGCTGTCTATGTGTATGCATCTGTGTACACATGTAGAGAGAGAGAGAGAGAGAGAAAGAAACAACACACTCCACACATCGATACCCATATACATGTATATATACTCATACGTACGATGTCTACACATGTTTACACACATATACATTTACAACTATGATATATATACATATAAATACATATATATATATATAGAACGAGAGTGTGATAGAGGTAATAAGTGGATGGCGCTGCCGCTCTGGCATGGAAGGGGAGGCTATGACCCGCTCCGCCAACCTGAGCTGAGTGGCCTCTGCTGGTGCGCGTATTCTGCGCACGCGTGCACTGGAACTCCCAGACCTCACGCGGGCAGCCCTGCCGAACGAGGAGGCAAGTTGGGGCGTGCAGTCGAAAAACATGAGAGGCAGGTGGATATATCAGGAGTGGGATGCGTGCCCCGACGAGCGATGATTTCAACGTGGGCGAATGTAGGGGGCACAGAAAGAGAGAGAGAGAGAGAGAGAATCGACAGATGAAGAGCCAGGAGGAGAGGCGGAGCAAGACGCGGCTGACAACGAGGTGGAGGCGGCCAAGGGCGCGACGGAGCGACGGAGAAGGAGGCGGAGAAGGAGGCGAAGAAGGAGGAGGTGCCGGTGTTGCTGGAAGGGGTTGGAGGGAGGATGACCGAGATATGAACGAATTTCGAAACTCCCCGCCCCCACAGCGGCTGGACGTAGCCGCCAGTCAGAAGAAGACGAACGGGACGAACACGAATCCCGGATCGCAGCCTGGCCCCGCCCGCTCCCGCCGGCGCTTCCTCGTGGCCCGCGCGCCCTCCTGAGCGGGCCCCGCCTTCTTCCGCACACCAAGCCGCAGGCGCGACCTGCTCTGGTGCCAGCTCCTCCGTGTTGCTGCTACTGGGCTCCGAGCGCTGGAGGAGGAGGAGGAGGGGGAGGGGGAGGGGGAGGAGGAGGAGGAGGAGGAGGAGGAGGAGGAGGAGGTAGGGAGGAGAGGAGGAGGAGGAGTGAGGAGGAGGAGGAGGAGGAGGAGGAGGAGGAGGGGGAGGAGGAGGAGGAGGGGCTCGTCCACGAGAGGCCTTCCACCAGGGACCCCACCCTGAGGTCCCAGGACGTCCTCCACAGGCGCGGCGAGCCTCGCCGGAGCCTGCTGCCCGTGCTCGCCCGCAGGCTCTCGCGGGGCCCGGCGCCGCCCGGCTGCTGCTTAGCTCGCCGCTCTCGGCGGTGCCCCGGGGCCTCCACCGAGATGCCGGTCCTCCTCGTGGTGCCCTCCCTCCTGCTGGTGCTCTCTCTCTCGAAGAAGAAGAAGGAGAAGAAGAAGAAGAATAATAATAATGCTAATACTAAGAATAAGAATAATAATAATAATACTAATAATAATAAGGATAATAATAATAATAAGAAGAAGAATAATAATAAGAAGAAGGATCATTAATAATAATAATAATAATAATGAGAAAAATAGGGAGAATAAGAAGAAGAGAGAAGAAGAAGAAGAAGCGCCGTAAAGCATGAACTTTCGGCACTCGCGCGGATTTCGTGGGTCCGCGCTGGGCCCCCCTGGCGGCGCCTCCGGCGCCGCAGCCGGGCGCGCTCCGCGCGCCAGCGAGGGGGATCCAGCGCAGATCCCAGAAACCCGCGCGGAGCGCTCTCCCGGCAAGGGCTCCGGCCCAGGGTTTTCTTGTACAGGTTTTTTTCCCCGGGGGCGACCTGAAGAGGGCTGGCGGAATTATTTTCAGGAGGGGAAAAAACACACAGACACAATTAATTCTCGATTCCCAGGAAAATATGGAAATATATGGGAAGGGGGGGGGAAGACAAAAAGTCAGAAAATATGCGAAAATATGGGGAACATTTTTATTTGTGTGTATTTATTTGTGTGTCCTGGGGACCCCTTCATATTTGTTACAAATAACCAGGTAACATTCGATCTGTTTCAGTCCATGCAGTTCGCGCGTGCCCGCTTTAGGAACATGTATCCCCTATCTCGGAGCCTCGAGAAATCATTTAGAGCTCAGACGCCCGTTTTCCCTGGTTAGAAAGACGGGCTGCGGAGCGTTCTGCGCAGAACCCGTGATAACATACGAGGTACGGAGACCCTACATGTGTTTCAGCGAATTGGAGAAGTATGCAGTTTTGCGAGCCCGCTCGAGGATGACGCGTCCCGCGCGAAGGAATTTCGAGGAGCGAAATTACTCGCGCTAGATAACAAGATTAATTCCAATTCGGCGTGGAGGAAATGCGTTTCGCGCGTGCTCGCTCGAGAAGAATGCGGCACTTGATCTCGGATCCTCGATCAATTACGCAGTCCTCAGACACCCGTTTTCCGTCGTGACAATAAGCGGGCTGCGGAGCTTTCTGCGCAGAACCCGCAACAAAACACAAGGTATGGATATCCTAAGACGGTACAACACATCTGGACAAATTGTTGTTTCGCATGCCCGCTCGAGGATGGCGCGCCCTGCGCGCAGGAATATCGAGGATGCCTCGAGCCCCGCGCTTGTTTTGCAGAAGGAAGGCTGTGCCCGCTCGAGGATAGCGCACCCTGCGTGCCGAACATCCAAGGTCCAAGGATGTCTCGGGCGAAGCGCTTGCTTCGCAGCGATCCTGGCCTTGGGAGCGCGGACGCAGTGTAATTGACGAGGGGTCCCTGGCCCTGGAGGCGCGAACCCACTGTAATTCATATGGTCTCGTGGTCCTGGGAGGGCGGACGCAGCGTAATTCACGAGGGAGCGCGGCCCTGGGAGCGCGGACGCGGGGCAGTTTGCGAGGGATCGTGGCCCAGGGAGAGCGGACGCAGCGTGATTTACAAGGAATCGTGGCCCTGGGAGCGCGGACGCAGCATATTTTACAGTGGACCGTGGCCCCGGGAACGCGGACGCAGCGTCATTTTTGAGGCACCACGGCCCTGGGAGGGCGGACGCAGTGCAGTTTATCAGGAATCCTGCGACTGGGTGCGCGGACACAGCGTAATTCACGAGGGAGCGCGGCCCTGGGGGCACGGAAGCAGCGTAGTTTACAAGGGATCGTTGCCCAGGGAGAGCGGGCGCAGCGTAATTGACGAAGGGGTCTTGGCCCTAGAGGCGCGAACCCAGCGTAGTTTCAACGGGATCGTAGCCCTGGGAGCGCGGATACTGCGTAATTCACGAGGGAGCGTGGCCCTGGGAGCGCGGATGCAGCGTAGTTTACAAGGGATCGTGGCCGAGGGAGGGCTGACGCAGTGTAATTTTCGAGGGATCGTGGCCCTGGGAGCGCGGACGCAGCGTAATTTACGATGAAGCGATGACGCAGCGTAATTTACGAGGGATCCTGGCCCTGGGCAGGGACGTCCCGTGGCACGTTCCGTGGCGCGTCCCGTGGAAAGTCCCCCTGGCACGTCGCGCGGCTCGTCCCTTGGGTGGCACGTCCATTTGGCACTTTCCGTACCGCGTCCCCTTGGCACGTCCCGCGGTGCGTCCCCATGGCACGTCTCCTGGCACGTCGCCTGGCGCGCCCCTTGGGACGTTCCGCGGCGCGTCCCCCTGGCATGCCCCCCTGGCATGCCCCCCTGGCATGCCCCCCTGGCATGCCCCCCTGGCATCGCCCAGTTGCATATGCAACTGAGGTCCTGGAATCGGTTCCATGCCTCGCAGTTCTCAATCCGTTTTCGGCCTCGTGGGTCGACCCTGCTCTTCGTCTGTTGATGCTGGTGTGTGCCTCCTGCTGCACCAGTGCACGTCCTCGCTGCTCGAGACCATCCGAGCTTCGCGCTCGTGGCCCGCCCGCCACTCCAGCTCCGCCGCCGACGACGTGTGGGCGGGGGGAACCACGCAGCCGACAGCCGCGGGCAGCCCGCACTCGCCCTCCTCTGCGTGGCCATCGAGCCAGCCATGGCCACGATCGGCGGCGAGCGAAGTTTCGGGGTCCGGGCTCTAGGTTTCCGGACGTTGTCCTCAGTTCTCGGCGGTCTTCCAGCCTCGGGATGCTTGCCAGCAGCTGCGCGCCTCGCGGCGGGCGGCGAGCGAGGGGGGGGAAGCTTCGGGGTCGAGGTTCTGGGTTTCCGGACACTGTCCTCAGTTCTCGGCGGTTGTCCAGCCTCGGGATGCTTGCCCGTAGCTGCGCCTCGCAGCGGGCGTGCCCGGGGTGCCCGGGTCGTCCCGAACGGCGCCGCCGGAGACCCGAGTGCTGCCCCAAAAACGAATGCGGCCGCGCGCGCAGGGGGGGAAGTGAGGAGGAGAAGGCTTTCTCGGAAGGCGGCGAGGACTTCTCATCGGGGGCGGAAAAGAGGGGGGTGATGACTAGGGGGGGGTGGATATCATGGCGGGGGCCATGATATTTCCCCAGATCTCATGGCGCCTCTTCTTATTTCATTACGTCCCTGGTCCCCCCGCTGGGCCGCGCACATGCCGCCGGTCATGATTTGCACCCCCCCCTCTTGGACACCCCCCTCTTGGCCGCTCCCGATCTCAGAAGCCCTCGCGCCTCCTGAGGAGTTCTTTCTGTCTCCGGGGAGGGCTGAGAAAGCCTCTCAGAAGGCCTGGGGACTTCAAGGGGAGGGTTTCTCCGAAGGGCTTAGAGACGACCCCAGTTCTCCTCCTCCTGCTCCTCCTTCTCCTCCTCCTCCTCCTCTCCTCCTCCATGTCCTCCTTCCCCTCCCCCTCCTCCTCCTCCTCCATCTTTCCTCCTCCGTCTTTCCTCCTCCATCTTTTCCTTCCAGTCCTCCTTCTCCTCCTTCTTTCCCTCCCCCTCCTTCTTCTTCTTCTTCTTCTTCTTCTTCTTCTTCTTATTCTTCTTATTCTTATTCTGATTATTATTATTATGTTTCTTCTTATTTTTCTTATTCTTAGTATTAGTATTATTATTCTTTTCATTATTATTATATGTTATTATAACTATTAGTAGTATTATTAGTATTATTGGTATCATTTATTATCATTATTATTATTATTATCATCATCATTATTATTATTGTTCTAATTATAGTTATTACTATTATAATTATTAGTACTATTATTATTACTATTACTATTATTATTATTATCATTATTATTATTATTAGCATTATGATTCGTCTTCTTCTTCTCCTCCTTCTCCTCCTCCTCCTCCTCCTCCTCCTCCTCCTCGGGTCGCCTTCGGCCCCAGGGGGAAACCGTGCACTGCCAAGCCTTCTGAGAGAGGCCGCCCCTTCTCGCCTCCCCCCCCCTCGCTCGCCGCCGGCACGAGGGCACAGAGAGGAGTGCGGGAGGGCGGGAGGGCGGGCGAGATGGCTCCGCACCGTGCCATGCCCGTCGCCCTCGGCCGGGCCGAAGAGCTGTGCCACCTGCCTCCCCAGACCCCCTCGGGTAATGAAAAAATCATGACGGGAGGTTTTTGGGTATTTTCGGCCTCTGGGGGCCCTTACCGGCCCTCGGGACCGTGAAAAAACGACTCAGGATGAAAAACCGGTCCAGGGGAATGGGTCGAGACCTCCAGGGGTCGACGTAATGAAAAAATCATGACGTCGGGGGTCTGGGTCAGAGGCGACGACGGGGGCGAATCGCCCAGGGGAGAGCAGCACACGTACTCCTCGGGTGCGCCGAGGACCTGCGTCTTCGAGGAGGCTCCCGGGCGAAGGCGTGCCGTGCCCGCCCCCGGGCCGCATTCGCCCCGGTCGTCGCCGCCGAGGGCCCCTGGGGGGGGGGGGAGGGGCGCCCGCCACCGCGCCGTCCGGCCAGGGCCCTCCACGCCGTCGGGCCCGCGCGCGCGCGGGGGGAGCGGCGGCGCGGGGGGTCGTCCAGTGGAGGGGCCCCTCGGCTGCCCCGCAGGGGGCCCGGCAGGGAGCGGCCCCCCGCCGCGGCCTTGGGGGCGCGCTCGGCCCCCCCCCCCCCCGGCCCCCCCCCCCCCCCCCCACGCCCCCCCCCCGGGTGCCAGCCTTGGAGGCGTCTGACCCCCCCCCTCCGTCCCGCGTGCCAATTTACCAGCCTCGAACTTATCCCGATCCCTAAGATTGACACGGCAAAAGGCGATGACAATCTTAGGGATTCGCCCTCAAAAAAGAAGGGAGTCCTGAAGATTGGCATCGTGATGAGGAGATGCCCAGCATAGGGATAGGGATATGTTCCAGGCTGGTAACCAATACCCCCCAGGCACACCGCGAGGAAGAAGCGCTCCCCTCCCCCCCCCCCACCCCCACGGCCGCGCCCTGCCCCCCCTCCCCCTCCGACATGCCAGGGGGGAGCGGTCTTTTGAAGGAGTCGGTGCCCTTGCGTCCTTGCCTCCTCGGTCCATCCTTGACCACTCTCGATTTCCAGGCCCGCTCGGGATGCTTTGACATGGGCGTCCAAGGGGCTTGCATCCTTATCGCGCATCCTTGCTATCAAGTTTGACTGTGCGAGTCAGGCGAGCTGCCTGCAGCGTCCTTGGTGGCCTTGTCCCGTTGCCGCTGCTGAGCCCAATCATCCGCTGGCAAAGGAAAGTTGGGCGAGCTGCCTGAATTCGATGGGCTTAGGCCCTGCCGTTGTGCCAGATGTGCCGTCTCTCTGGAGTGGGGCTCCCGAATCGGAGCATATTGAGAATTGAAGGGTTGGCTGCAGGCCTGGAGGAATGTCCAGGAGGCGCCGGGAGTGACAGAGGAGGGGGGAGGAAGGAGGTGACGGATATGAGGGGAGGGAAGGGAGGAGGGAGGTTGCAAGAGGAGGAGGCGGAGGGGAGGAGGAGAGAGGATGGTTGAGGGAGGAGGGAAGAAGATGGAATGAGGTTGGAGGAGGAGAGGAGGCCGAGGACGAGGAGGATGAGGATGAGGAGGAGGAGGAGGAGGAGGAGGAGGAGGAGGAGGAGGAGGAGGAGGGAAGGATGGCAGGTTTTATAGGGATACTGGTTAAGGGGAAGGAATAGCGGTCCGTCAGGGCGTCGGAAGGGGCGACTCGCTGGGCGGGCTCTAGGCGCGCGCGGCGGGCATGCTCCCCTCTCCCCCTGTCTTCCTGTCCGTCCTTCGCCTCCCCCCCCTCCTCCTTCCACTCTTCCTCTCCTCTCCTCTCCCCTTCCCCTACCTTTTCTTCTCAAGCCATTTGGGCCTAAGCCTTTTCGGCAGGCGCCCAAGCCTCGACCCCGCCATGAGGGGGCCTGAGGGGCAGGTCGTCGTCCACCACATATTCTTTCGGCGGCAGGTCGGCTTGGCAACGTCGAGGGTGTCGGCTACGGATGATCAGTCGTGGAGCAAATGCGCAGGATGTGGGCGATGCGACTACAACAGTATCTTGATGAGCAGAGAGGCGCTGCGAGTGCGGGAAGCAGGTCAAACTGTATCAGGCCAAGCTGTCCACTCAGCGCGACGCCCAGCCAAACGAGCTCAAGAAGGTCGAGGACAAGGGGTCCGCAAAGGCCCCACCACCGCGAGCTCCGACAACTTGGCGCCGCTCGAAAACACCATGAAGCCCACCACGGGCCCCCTCCTGAAGAAACCGCCCTGGGACCAGCAAGATCCAGAAGGCGAAATCCGCACTCAAGTCGTCTCAGAGCCCCGAAAACACCCTCCGTCACGCGACGGGAGGCGTGGCGGGGCACCTCTCCCCGCCATGAGCAGGCCATCGCAGGACAGGGTGGCCGGGGCCCGGCAGCGCGGGCGCGAGACCGCTCCGACGCTCGCGCAGGCGAGGGCCGCCAGGACACTCGCTGCCCGGGGCCTGGCGTCGGAGATGGGCACCGCCGAGGGTGGGGCCTCGGTGTCAGCCAAGGTGGCGGTCGAGGAGGTGCTGTTCGAGGTGGAGGTTGACGAGGAGTTCCTGTCGTCGGCCGACGCTCTGGGCACCGAGGGGACCGAGCGGGTTGCCTCAAGGCGAGTCTTGAGCAGGAGCTTCGAGGAGCCCCGTCGCTGATTAGTGGGAAGCGCCCGCAGGTCCAGGCCCAGAACCAGAGGAGTACCGACCTGCGTTCCAAGATCGCCTCTGGGCGCACGAGAGGCAGCTGTTCCTCCGCTCTTGTCCCTCCAACCCTCCTCGCCCCTCCCTTCTGCCTCTTGCTGTTTGCGATGGGCAGGAATTGGCGCTCGCGCCGGCGCACGTGGAGGCGGCTGCTGGTGGGCCACCCGGTTTCGCCGGCGGCTCCGTGGCCAGGGAGTCGCCACGAGCCCGCGCTTGTCCTGAGTGTCGTGCCGCCTGCGGTGACAGCGCGGCCACCTTCACATGAGGAAGGGCCGCGTTCAGATACTTGGGAAGCGCATTAGATGTTAAGCACTTCGCCCGCCCGTTTGTCTCGCATGCTGTTGTGTTCGATGCGTGTTCAATACTGGATGGAGATGCGAGCTGCGTCCATGCTGCGAGGTTCATTATTTTCGCCTCTGGCGCGATTTCGCTGGGGGCCTCCTCCTCGTCCTCTTCCTCCTCCTCCTCCTCCTCCTCCTCCTCCTCCTCCTCCTCTTCCTGTTTCTCATCCTCCCTCCGTTTCTCCCGCTTCCCCCTGTCTGATACGCATATAGTTGCGCATCGAGATTTCGACGTGTGGGCGCGGGAATCTGCGGCGGGGTCGCATTGTCCAGGTCCCTGGCTTATCGCCAAAAAGGTGGCACGCGCTGCGTTGTTCATGGGCTGTCCGCATTGAAAGATCGACACCAGGCTCGCGAAGAGGAGGAGGAGGAGGAGGTCGACCCAGGGGCAATAGCACATGCAGCAGGCCCCGCAGCCGCTGAGGCTCCTGGCGCGGCCAGTGGATGGAGCGGTCGCGGGCCCGGCAGGGCGGCCTCGCCAGCAGTCGGCAGCACTGGAACCGAGAGCGAGGAGCGGAAGATCCAGGAGCGACGGCCGTGCTCAGCGAAGCGACGTTGGCGGCCCCGACGGTGGTCAAGGCGGCGAGGGCTGCAGAGACTGCTTACAGCTGCCCGCCGAGCGAGCAGGGGCGCCGCCAGGCTGGCCCGCCCCGAGTCAGTCGATTGGGGCATCCAGCGGGCAGTCGGCGAGACGCTCTTTGTCGACGAGTAGTAGTGGGGATTCGAAAACATGTTCTTTCTTATTCGCGAATGTATCGTGCATCGGCAAGCAGGCCTGGAATTTGGTGCTCGCGACCTCGCTCAATGAGACCAGCTCCGCGGAGACGCGCGCGGGCGCCTCGAGCCTGGCCGTGCGGGGCGGCAAGGTGCGAGCAGCTCGCGCGAGGCCCCCAGCAAAACCCGCGAGGCCCGCGGGGCGTGCCAAGGCCGAGCCAGGACAGCCCCAGTGGGCCCACGAGGGCAGCGGGTGTCTGCTCGCTCAGGGGCATCGCAGCGCGCGGCGCAGCCCGTCAGAGTCATCGCGCGAGCTGAGAGCCGCCGGCCATGGCGCGCTAGACGGGCTGCAGGCTCCAGTCATCGATGTGCGAGCGCCGCCTTCTGTCGCGATTTGTGGATGGGTTCTCCCGTGAAGGATGGCATTGGAGGAACCTGGGGAGATTTCGTGGGCTTCGGGCGCTCCTGGTCTTCCTCAGCTCCTCAGTTTAAGTTCTCTACATGTTGGGGCCCAGCGGCCCCGATCTTGCTGGCGCGAGGTTGCACTGGCACGCCCCGGCGCTATGTCCCGAGGGCTTCGAACGCATCCGTGGCGCGCGCTGCGCGTGCGGAAGGGTCGACGTTGCATTATGTTCTGGCCAGTTGTAGTGTGCTTTATGTGGCGTTGATGTTGTCGCATACGCGCCGCGGCAAACGCGGCGCGGTCTGCCGCTGCGATTCAGGTGCGCCGCCGCGCAGTAACGCGCTCGCTCTCGCGCTCGCGCTCGCGACGGAGGGCGCCTGGGGAAAAGGGGGGGGGCATTGGGGGGGCGCGCGGGGGGCGGCCGTGGCTGGGCGCGGCGGGCAATGGCGCCGCGACGCCCGCGGCGATACCCTGGGCCCACTAGCCCTGCCACATTCCGCCCCTCTCGGTCCGCGCCGCCCACGCGTTGATCTCGGGGCCTAGGGCCAGGGCCAGTGTCGAGCAGGCGCGCCCGCTGGCAGCTAGGCAGTTCGCTCATGGAGATGGGCCCCTCGCTGAAGAGTCGGAACGCGAGAGGCCCGCTGTCGCGTGTCTTCGCGGGCGTTTTGCCGCATCTGCGGGGCCCCGCTTCTGCCGCGGAGTGGGGTTCCAAGCCGGCGGCTTCGCCGGGTGAGGGGGCCGTCCGTTTTTGAAGGGGGCCTGGGGCCGGGCACTGTGCTGTCGGCTAGGAATTCAAGCCCGCCATCAGGGGGCGCCCGTGACCCCTGGCTTCTGCTCCATTGCGCGGGCCAGGCGCCCTCGGGGGGGCGGGGTGCGACGGGCCCTTCAGAAGGCGCGTCCATTCGTCGGCGGGCGCTCGCGCAGGGCGCCGGCCAGCAGCGATGACGCCGCGCGTTGCCGCTGAAGGCGCCGGGCCCAGGCGGCCCGTCGCAGGCGAGGCAGGGGCATCGAGTGCGATGATGCTGCGAGTGAGGGGCCTGAGACATCGCTGCTCCGCAGGTACTGGGCGCGCCCCCAGGATGCGGTTCCCCCGCCGGCCCATCATCGGGAATGTTGGTTGCACATGCATGCAGTTTGCAGGAGACGGACGCGCGTCTGTGGTTGTGCGGCATTATGCCAGCAGCATGGGCGTCAGAGCGAGCCTCGGTCAGCTCCCTCATGGCACGTCGGCGGGATCGAGGCCCGCCTGCGGGCAGGCTCATTCGGCGCAGGCGCTCGCCGCCCCCCCCCCCCCCCGCCCACCCCGTTAGCGGATGGCCGGAATCTGCGGGTGAGGCGCTGCGCTGGGTTGGCATCGGCCTGGCGGCCATCTGGTCTTTCAGCCCCTGTTCCATCGAGGTCTCGACCTGAGGCCTTTTCCCAGGCCTCCGACATGCGGCTCCCCGCGGCGAGCCTTTGAGTCCAGTCGTAGCCGTGGAGTGCGGAGCGGCGCTGATTGGGTGGCGCCAACGGAGGCTCGATAGTCCCAGCGGCGACAACGCCAACCTTTCGGGCCGTCTGGGGGAGTCCCAGGAGTGTCGAGATTTGATGCCGCCGCTGTGCTGCTAGTTTCGTCGCACCAGGCGGCCAATGATCTTGCTCGCTCCAGGTGTCCTCCGTGGATTTCGCTTGGGAACGCAGTTCGGGCGAAGAGAACCTGGCACATGCGCCGATCCTGGCAACGCCCATCCTTGACCCAGGATCGGTGCATATACCTTCCTGGCCAAGGTAAGAGGGCGTACGCACCGATCCTGGGCTCAAGATGGGCCTGGCCAGAATCGGTGCATGGGCATGGTTGTCTTTCCTCTCGAAGTGGCGGACGAGCTAGCGGGGGAAGCGGCCCTCGCAGCTCGCGTGCCGCAGCTTTTTCGGCTCGAGGCCAATGGGGGCTGATCAGGAGGCTCGGCGGGTTCGGAGGCGCCTCCGTCGTGCCAACCTCGAGGCCATCCAGGCAAAGAAGACATCTTCGCCGTGGTCAAAGCGGTCAGCGACCTCCGCCGTCTGCTGTTGTTCTTGCTGTTCTCTCTTCCTCGCGCGCCATGTCCGAGGGTGCCAGATTTGCTCGCAGCGCCGCGGGTGCGCGTCTCGAGCGGCGCGCGCCCACTGGATATGCAGCGCGTGGTGCCCCGAGTTAGCTGAGCACTTTGAGTATTCGGTTGAATTGCCGAAGGGTCCGTGTACGCACATAGAGGGGCGGCTGGACCCATGCCAGCCACGCGTTTATCATTTAGTCATGCGATGGATTTGTTTGTTTGTAGCGCATGCGGTCTTATGGGAACCAACAGTTGCGGGGTCTCACCAGCGAGTTTTTTTCCACCCCACTGGGCCCCGAGCGTAGAGTTCATTTCACGCCTTCGAGGCGGAGCTACTTGACCAGCATATTCGAGGACAGAGTGCCACTTGTGTAAGTAGCCGCAGCCAGAACAAAACCGAATGCTCGTGCTGGTGTGTTACGGTCATGACCCTTCGCTTCGCAATCGGTTCTCTCCTATGTGTTTCTTCTTCCTTGTCCTCATCTCCAAGAGGAAGGCTGTACGAACATCAATTTCCGAAGCTCCGCGCTGATTTCTTGGATCGGCGTTGGAGCCCTTCCGTGGCGTCCACTCTAACCAAATTTCTTTTACTGTTTCTTCCCCTCTTCTGCTCTTCCGATTCCTCCTCTTCCATTTCTCCCTCTCTCCCTCTCTCCCCTCAGTGTTTGTGCCCTGAGGCCACGAACGAATTTTGCCAATGCCGGTCCACCTCTTACATGGATTGAATGCAGTGAGGCTGGTGTCGGAAGCGGCTTCCCCGCCTCAAATTGGAGCACATTCGTTTGAAGTTGCAACAGCTACGCGGATGGAGGGTGGTATTTGCTTTGTCATTGGGGTTATCTGTTAAACGTTACCGAATGTCTGCAACGCGAGGCGGAAAGAAACACAGCAACGACACGGATGGATGGCGGGTCTCCGTCATGCGGATTTTTTGTTTGACGCCTTCTCCACCACAGCAGAACAACGTGTTCATGTGGGCAACAGCTACGCGGACGGAGGTTGCTGGTGTTTTTTTTCCGGAAAGGGCGGCGGCCAAGGGTTCCCTTTTAGAGATTACCCCCCCTCAGCTTCGACTTGAAGGAGGCTGGCAGAAGTAGCCGGAAAAAAAGTAACGAGGTCGAAGAGGGCCGGCGGGATGACATTTTGAGGATGTCCCTAGAGAGACGCTTGGTCGATATGAATTTGTTCAAAATGTCTCAGGCGAAACGGTGGTTTTGCAGAGTTTGGGATGTCTCAAGCGAGGGCCTCGTGGTAGGGCCAGACTATAGAGGATGTTTCGGGGGAAATGCTTGTTTTCACTTGCCGAGGTCGCCAATGGGGGTATCTCACATGATGGTTCCGAGCTGGAGCCAGTTGTTCTCACGCTTGTTCCGCTTCAGGGGCGAACTTGACCCACGTGTTTTCACGTTCGAGGGGGACGCATGTGTTGTCACGCATGGTCCGTTCAGGGGCGAAAAGGGCCCACGTGTTTTCACGTTTTTTCCGCTCTGGTGCGAAATGGACACAAATGTTTCCACGCTCGTTCCGCTCAGGGGCGAACTGGATCCATGTCTTTTTTCCCAACCATCCTGTGATGTTGGGTCCTCGTTTTGAAAAGACGGTGGCCCGCGTCTCCTCTCCTCCTCTCCTCCTCCTCCTCTCCTCTCCTCCTCTCCTCCTCTCCTCTTCACCCACCCAGTACACCGTTTCGTGGCCCCATAGGAAGCTCCGCCGAAGGCCCCAGTGCTGCCGCCCGCATGCGTCACGCACACCCAATTCGGCACACCCCTCACACGTTTCGTGGCCCCATAGGAGCTCCACCGAAGGCCCCAGTGCTGCCGCCCGCATGCGCACGCACACCCTTTCGGCACACCCCTCAACGTTTCGTCGCCCCATAGGGAGCCTACCGAAGGCCCCAGTGCTGCCGCCCGCATGCGTCACGCACACCCAATTCGGCACACCCCTGACACGTTTCGTGGCCCCATAGGGAGCCCCACCGAAAGCCCCAGTGCTGCCGCCCGCATGCGTCACGCACACCCATTTCGGCACACCCCTCACACGTTTAGTGGCCCCACAACCCCCCCCCCAATTATGGGAGCCGCCACCGAAGGCCGCATGCTGCCAGCCCGTCTGGCCGCACGCCGAACCATTCGCACCCCTCACGACTTTTCGTGGGCCCCATAGGGAGCCCTGACCGAAGGCCCCAGGTGCTGCCGCCCGCAAATGCGTCACGCACACCCCATTCGTCACACCCCTCACACGTTGTCTTGCCCATAGGGAGCCGCCTGACGAAGCCCCAAGTGCTGCCAGCCCGCATGCGTCACGCACACTCAATTCGGCACACCCCTCACACGTTTCATGGCCCCATAGGGACCCCCACCGAAGGCCCCAGTGCTGCCGCCCGCATGCGTCACGCACACCCAATTCGGCACACCCCTCACACGTTTCGTGGCCCCATAGGGAGCCCCACCGAAGGCCCCAGTGCTGCCGCCCGCATGCGTCACGCACACCCAAGTCGGCACACCCCTCACACGCTTCGTGGCCCCATAGGAACTGCCCCGAAGGTCACCAGTGCTGCCGCCCGCATGCGATCCTTGCACCCCGACTCGCCACCCCGCCACACGTTTCGTGGGGCCCCATAGGAGCACCACCGAGGCCCTCGAGTTGCGTGCCGTCCGCATGCGGCACGCACGACCCAATGTCGGCACAGAAGCCCCTCACTGACGTTTCGTGCCACCATACATCCCTCACAGGTTTATCGTGGCCCCATCATCCCCCGGAGGCCCCTGTGGCGCGCTCACAGTATGCGTACACTCCACACCCCTTATTCGCTAGCAACCCCTCACGTCTAGGGTGGTGGGAGCGCGCATACATAACAGATACCACGTTGTTCGTGGCCCCATAGGGAGCCTGACCGAAGGCCCCAGCGGCCGCGCTCACATGCGTCCCCGCCACCCATCCCGGCACGCCCCTCACAACAACAGGTTTCGTGGCCCCATAGGGAGCCTGACCGAAGGCCCCAGTGGCACCGCCCGCATGCGTCACCACCCGCACCCAATTCGGCACACCCCTCACACGTTTCGTGGCCCCATAGGGAGCTGCACCGAAGGCCCCAGTGGCGGCGCTCACATGCGTCCCCGCTACACATCCCAGTACACCACTCACGCGCTTCGTGGCCCCATAGGGAGCTCCACCGAAGGCCCCAGTAGCGGCGCTTACATGCGTCTCTGCCACCCATCCCGGCACCCCACCCGCAGCAGCATCATGTTTCGGGGACCCATAGGGAGCTCCACTGGAGGCCCGGCCCTCACATGCGTTTCCGCCACCCAACTCGGCACGCCCCGCGCGTGTTTCATGTCCCCATCGGGAGCTTCACCGAGTTCCCCAGTGGCACCCATCTCGGAACACCCCTCACACGCTCCGTGGTCCTATGGGGAGTTCCACTGAAGATGAAACCCGCAGCTGCGGTACTGACAACTGCATATGGTTGGGTTCTTCGCCAGGCTAATTACCGTTTGTTCCGCTCAGGCCTGGCGCGAAATGGACCCACGTGCTTTCACGTCTGTCCCGCTCTGGTGCGAAAGGGGCCCACGTATGTTCACGCTTGTTCCGCTCTGGTGCGAAGGGGCACGTGTTTTCTTGCTTGTCTGGAGCAGAAGCTGGGCTCGTGCTGTGCTTGCTTGATATCGCGATCCCGTGCCACGTCCCGTGGCACGTTCCCTGACTCGTTCCCTGACACGTCTCCTGGCGCGTCGCCTGGCACGTTCCCTCGCGCGTTCCGTGGCGCGTCCTGGCGAGTCCTCCTGGCACGTCGCGCGGCGCGTCTCCTGGCACGTCCTGTGGCACTTCCATTGGCACGGTCCGTCGCGCGTTCCCTTGGCACGTCCCGCGGTGCATCCCCATGGCACGTCCCCTGGCACGTCCGCTTGCGCGTCCTTTGCTCTGGGGCGCGTCCCCTTGGCATGCCCCCCTGGCATCGCCCAATTGCATATGCAATTGAGGTCCTGAGAAACGTGTCCATGCCTCGCAGTTCTCAATCCCTTTCCGGGTTCGTGGGTCGATCATGCTGGATTGTCGTTCGGCATGTTTGGGTTCATGCTTGTATGGTAAGGCTACGGGGCGCTGGTCTTTCAAAGGGGCGCTCCCCTCAGTGAAAGGAACACTTGTGGACACCTTTAGGGAGCATACTTCGGGCGAATGTGTATAATGCGTCACTCTTGATGCATCCTGGGTTTACTCTAGTCCTCCTCATCCTTTCTCGTCCTCCCACTTCTCCGTCTCCCCCTCTCGCCGCGACCCGGAACGCACCGCGCCGGTCCGCACCGACCTTGTGTGTTCTTGGCGAGG